CCCCCGCGCCTTTGCCCGCCGTTTCCCAGACCCCAGCGCGGGGGCCGGGCACGTCCGGGAGCCTCGAGCGGTTGCCGGTCGCTTCCTGAGCCCCCGGGGCTCGTGCCCTCCGGCCGCCTGGCCCTTCGCAGCCATTAGCGCCCCCTTGCCAGGCCCCCTGTAGCCCACCGAGGTCACTTCCTACAGTACCACCGTCCCGGGCCGTTCCCGTCCACTTCTGGCAGCGTGAGGTGTGACGTTCCTGTCACTTCCTAGGCTGCCAGTCTTTTCTGGTCACACCCTGACACCTGTCCCTGCCCCAGAACCATCACAGGTTTCTTTTGGACCTTTCGGAGATAAGACAGTGGTCCTCGGTAGTGTGGGCCCAGTCCTGTGGGAACGGGAGGGGTGGAGTTTCAGGCTGCTCTTGGTTCTGCGAAATGAGGTGCTGCCCCCACAGGTGCCCACGCAGGCGCTGTAGAACCTAGGGAGTGTGGCCAGTGGGGCGGGGGGCGCCCCCAAAAGTCTCTCTGAGAAAAGATCAGATTGCACAGACCACCTGAGATGCACCACAGTCCTCTCTACCAGAGAGACTTGCAAACCATTATTGGTTCTTGCAGATGACAGAATGGTGGCAAGTATTTGAGACCATGTTACTGAGGACATTAAGCCTAGAGAAAGCAATAATAAGAATACAGTTTTGAAGTGACCAAGGGGTTGTCACATGAAAGGATTAAACTGTGTTTTGGGTTTTCTTGGAGAGTGTCCAGACCAGTGAGTGGAATTTACTGGGAGCAGATTTTGGGTTTGATGGAAGGATGACTTGAATATTATGAACCTCCTGTCTCTGGAGGGCTAAGCCAGAGGCTGTGGAGGGAGCTTTGGGTGGAGAGTCAGGGACGAGGATTAGAGTAAATGAGGCCAGGATCCCTTCTGACTCTGAAGTCCCACTGAGTTGTCTTTCTCTTGTGGGAGTTTGAAACCTACTTAAGGGAAAGTTCTCTTTTTGCATTTTGCAAAATTGCTCAGCTCTGAGAGTGTGCATGTTCGGATTACTTTGGGCTGTCAAAATGACAGTTCCTTAATTTAGTTTCCATTATTACTACAGCAGCCACATTATTGGGACAGCTGTTCTCAACACCTTGTGCTATTTTATACTAATCAATTAGTTTTGTCTTCTGTGAGGCTTGTTGTGTGTTTACCATAACTATTGGAGAAATTAAGGCACTTACTTTGAAGTCTCTGCTAACACCCTCCCTTTTAATTTTGAGCATAATTTTCACCGTTGTAGAAAGCTCTTTTGAAATATACCACTTATTTAATCCTGCCTGGGTCACATGCTTGCTTGTGGGTTTCTGAAATAATCTATTCCTTATGTTTATTTCAGAGCCAAGGCACTGATCTTTGGACTGGATGCTTCAGAGCATTTGAAAGAACTATCAGGATGATTTTGAACTAGCCACATTAGAAATCTCATCGGAACACTGCCTCCGTCCAGCACATATCTGCCCAGTGGAGTTTTCCTGGAGTGGAGCTTGAAGGTGCTGTTATGTAGACAGCCCTGCTGATGCTCATGGAACCAGACTGGTGGATTTGACTTCTTACTTTATTATATTCTGAATTCCAAAAGGTATAGAGATATTCATGAAACTGAAGAGGCTACGCGGAAAGGAAGAAGCACTTTCATCTGAATAAAAACTAAGAAGTGGCAATCAAGATAGAAAACACCTAACCCTACCACACCCGGCTTCTCTGCAATGGAGACACAGCTGCGGAGCAAGAAGTGATACTGGAAAAAGAAATCCAAATAAACAGGATGAGGCTGACTGAGAAGTAAATGGCCACCTCTACCTCCCCAGAGACAAAGTCAGCCCCTTGGTGAGTATCAAGACCTTTCTCCAGGCTTCCAGATACATCTGGGTGAATTGAAAATCCCCAGCCAGATCATCTTGATTTAAAAAAAAAAAAAAATTACAAGGTCATTTTCCTTTGAGTAGCCACATGGAGCATGCAGGCCTCTTCTCTCTAGAGCTAGCGTTTTAACCTCGCAAGCCTCTTGCAGTGTTTGAGTGAGTCCAACATCCTAGTAGACCATGGAAAAGACCATGCAGTCCACTTTGAGAATGACCTGGCTGAGGAATAGTTGCAGTAGAGAATTTCATCACAAGAAGAGGTTTGCCCAGTCTAGCTGGTGGCTCGTCTAGCTCAGGAAGGGTTTCTTCCTGAAGCTCGGTTCCCACTCAGCCTCATGACTTAATACTTTCTCATAATTCGGTTCAGCAGACATTAATACAGAGGAGAAAGGGTTTAACTAGATTCAGCGGGACTTAGTGACTGATCGATCATACACACGGAAGAAAGAGGGAGCAGCAGTTGAGAGTGGAGCCCAGGCTTTCTTTTGCATACCTGGAAGGGCAGTCGGGTGCTTTTACTTGGGATGTAGGATGGGGGAGGACAGGGCCAGGGCTTGTTGGTCCCTGGGTGGCCCTGAAGCACTGAGCCTTCTTGGTCTGGGCTTGCCCTGCAGCTGGTTTCCCATCTAGCCCCGGAACTCAAGAGGGTGCATCATGCTGGAATCCGAAGAGATGAGCTGGGAGGCCCTAGAGGGCACAGGCCCCTGTGAGAAGAGTATGGATGGCCAGGTGGTCACATGTCCCTTGTATGCTACAGCCTGGAAAATGTCCTTTTTGAGATTTAGAAGTAAAAGCACGACCCAGCCTCTGGGGAGTTGGCTTTGTGGTCTTAAAGAGGGAATCGGATAATGAGAATTATGTAATAATTATTATCCTGCAGAGTAGGCTGTAAGGGACTTTAGGAAAGAGGAGTGTCAGGGAAACTTGAAGAAAGAGGTTCCTTTGGGTCAGGGAATCAGAAGGTTGAGGAGGAAGCTGACTGAGCGAGTCCCTGGAGCCCGGTCATGTTGGACGGGCAGAGAGGGTCCAGTGTTCCTCTGAACTCGCGAAGCCCCTTTCCCTTCCACAGTGCCCAGCATTGGCCTTGCATATCTGTCGAGCAGGCGCAGAGCACACCGTGGCCCTGCGTAGATGCGTGCGTGCATTCCTGGTGGAAGGGCTGTCCGGGGTCATCGCACTCAGCAGTTGTGAGGGGGCCAACTGAGATGCTCCTAACTTGTTACCAGAGCCTTAGGCGGGTGCCAGGCCACGTGGCTCACAGTTGAGGCTCAGCATTGCAGACGGGCTGTTGTTGTGGGCGCCATCTTTCTTCCTGCCACTCATGTCCTTGTGGGCAGATGGTCTGACGGCTGGAGAGAGATATATTTTTAGTTTGCCTCTTCTGCACTTAAGGACTGGTTTTATCTATTCGGAGCGACTGGGTTTGTTTTTCTCTGGGGCCACCAGAAGGCTCAGACACTGAGTGACAAGGCTGCTTGGGCTGGGAGATAGGAGGCCCTGTCCTCAGCTGCCGTTGCCACCACGTGGAGGGAGACATGGCCCCACTCTCTTCTCTCGCCAGGTGGAATTATTTTTTTCTCTATGATGGCTCCAAGGTGAAGGAGGAAGGAGATCCCACCCGAGCTGGCATTTGTTATTTTTACCCTCCTCAGGTAAGCCACACCACGTCCTGCTGTTCAGAGGGGCTCCCCTGCCTTCAACAGTGACTTTTCATAACTGTAGAACTTCGCTGTCTTTAGCTAATCCAGGACACTGACATTTCTTCTGTCTTATTCTTTTGTTTTTCTGTCTTATTCTTGGTATACTGTTGCTTGTTCTGGTCTTGAAATTCCCAGGCAACCAGTACTTTCTCTTCTCCAGCCCTCTGTTACCATCTTGATCTTTTTCTCTGCTTTTCTCTGACCCCAATTTATTGATCACCTCACTTAAAAAAAAAAAAAAATATTGTACAGAAAAGTAGAGTATCACGAACCGTCATGTGTCGTCACCAGCACCAGTAATTATCAACACTTCACCAATTTTATATGGCCTACCTTCCCCCGCTATTATTATTATTATTTTCAGAAGCAGTTTGAAACAAATTCTAGACATTGTGTCCTTTTGCCAGTACCAAGTGACATCTTTACTCAATTTTGTTATTTTAAGCATCACACTTAACAAAAGTTACAATAATTGATAACAGTAATTGCTTAATACATCTAATATGCTGACTATATTCACATTTCTCTGTATCATCTTAGAGGCTATTTAGTCTGTTGGTCCTTCCTCTCTGTCTCTCTGTGTCTGTCAGTCTCCCCTCTCTCATAATCAGTGTCCAAACAACGACCCCAAATTCTCTTTGGTTGTTTCATCCTTTAGGTCCCTTTTGTGACACTTTGCAGTTACCCACTCATCCTTTATTCCCCATGCCATTGAGTTATTGAAGAAACCAAGTCCCTGTGCATAGACTGTTGGGGTGGCCTGCACTCTAGATTTGGCTGATGCCATTCGCCTGGTGGTGTCATTTCATATCTCCTATCCACCGTGCTTCCTTTAAATTAGTGGTCCACTTGAGAGTGTTGGTTAAGTTCACGTTCAGTTCTGTGGGTGGGAATTCTTCATAGCTGATGGGAACGTTCTCTGTGGCTTCACAGAACATCTGGCTGCCCTGCAGTCCAGTTAAGGCTAAGACTGATTACGAGATTCTATGTATTTGCTCATGTGATTGCCCGATGACTCTGGTGACCGGGATTAGTTCAGGCTGCTCAGGCCCCTCCAGCAGGGGATTTGAGTAGGAATGAGAGGTTTATGCTTCCACCCAAGTGGGTGCCTATGATCTTAGGAGCACAAATACAGTTCTGTACTATCCTCTCATGTTTACTAAGGGGTTCTCTAACAGTCGGCCACCCTGGCAGGAGTTAGCAAACTTTGTGGGTGGTTTCTTGTGGTACTGAGGATTGATCCCATGGGCACCTTACCACTGAGCAACATCCTCAGCCCTTTTGTAACTTTTATTTTAAGGTAGGTTCTCACTAAGTTGCCTGGGCTGGTCTTAACTTGTGATCCTCCTGCCTCAGCCTTCCTATTTGCTGGGATTACCAGCACACCTGGCTAGGGGCTGTGGCAAATTTTGTTAGGGTCCTAATGGTAAATGTTTAAGGCATTGGATGCCACCCAAGGGCTTTGTCCCATATTCTTTGTAGTTATTTTTTATTTATGCCACCCAAGGGCTTTGTACCAAATTCTTTGTAGTTATTTTTTATTTATTGAACCCAGGGGAACTGAACCACTGAGCCACATTCCCCACCCTTTTTATGTTTTATTTGGAGACAGGTTCTTGCTCAGTTGCTTAGGGCCTTGCTAAGTTGCTGAAGCTGGCTTTGAACTCACGATCTTCCTGCCTCAGCCTCCATGTGCCACTGTGCCTGGCTGTTGTTATTTTTACAACCCTTAAAAAATATAAAAGCCGGGGCTAGGGATGTGGCTCAAGCGGTAGCGTGCTCGCCTGGCATGCATGCGGCCCAGGTTCGATCCTCAGCACCACATAGAAACAAAGATGTTGTGTCCACCAGAAAAAACTAAAAAATAAATGTTAAAATAAAAAAAAATATATATAAAAGCCATTCATGGTCCAAGGACCATATGAAAACAGATGGTGGACGGGATTTGGCCTGCAGTGCTCAGTTGGCTCTAAGGAATGAACCAGGAGTTCAAGACTGTCAGCCATGCCGGGTGTGGTGGCACACACCTGTAATCCTAGCAGCTCGGGAGACAAGAGGCAGGAGGATCTTGAGTTCAAAGCCAGCCTCAGCAATTTAGCAAGGCACTAAGCAACTCAGGGAGACCCTGTCTCTAATAAAATTCAAAATAGGCCTGGGGACATGGTCAAGTCCTGTGGTCAAGTGCCCCTGAGTTCAATCCCCGGTATCTTAAAAAAAAAAAAGAATGTCAGCCTGGTTTCTAGAATCTGCTCCTCTCTCATAGACCCTGCTGGACCAGCAGGAGCTGCTGTGCGGGCAGATTGCCGGAGTGGTCCGCTGCGTCTCTGACATTTCTGACTCTCCTCCTACCCTCATCCGTCTTCGGAAGCTCAAGTTTGCTGTGAAGGTGGATGGAGATTACCTCTGGGTAAGTCTAAGCAGGCAGAGCCCCCTGAGGTATTAGGATGGTCAAGTTGAGACAGGCAGGCTGCTGTGGCGCTGAACCCAGACGCTCCCCCCTAGCCCCCATGTGCTGGGTCCAGTGGTCATCCACGTTTCCTGTGACACTCTGCAGGTACCAAGGTAGTTCAGTGTTCTCCGACACATTTCTTTCCTTTTTGTTAGGTGAAGGGATTGAGCTCATCCCAGGCCCCGTGCATGCTAAGCACACGTTCTGCCACTGAGCCTGCCCTAGTCCCTCCACACATTTCTAACACACCACACCCAGCACATGGCTGATCTTTCTTTTCCTGAAACTTTGGCCATTATAATGCATCAATAAAACAACGTGGAAAAGAATTGTTAGCTCTGATAGATTAAACGAGATTCGATTTTACCTCCTAAAGGGTTGCTAAATACAAAAAACAAAAATAAAAATCTAGTTAAAATATGACGACTGGGGCCCACTGGTGGCCATGTTAGTCGCTCTGTGTTGCAAATTGAGTTTTTGCCTCCCTTTTCTCCCCGTGTGCTCCATGCTGTCCACACTCAGTGACCCTAAGGCCTGAGACACTAATGTGCACATGTGAGGCTTCAAGGAACCCCAAGAATATTTTTTTCACCATAGACTAGTTTTGTCTGTTCTAGAACATCATGAGTGACACAGTGCATCTTGTATAGTACTCTTTAGTGCTTCTGGTTTTCTGCTTATCATTTGTGAGGTTTCTCAAGGCTGTTACATCAGTATCCGTTGTTTTTTTTTTTTTTTTTATGTTGCTGGACCTTTATTTTATTCGTTTATTTATATTCAGTCCTGAGAATTGAACCCAGTGCCTCACACATTCTAGGCAAGCCCTCTATCACTGAGCAAGAACCCCAGCTGCATTGCTTTTTATTATTAAACAGTATTCCATGGTATGCCACAGTCTGTCTATTCATTCTCTTTTTGTTGGATGAAAACATTGCTAGTTTGAGGCAATTAAGAATAGAGCTTGCTGGGCACAGTGGCACACACCTGTGATCCCAGCAGCTCAGGAGGCTGAGGCAGGAGGATCGTGAGTTCAAAGCCAGCCTCAACAAAAGTGAGGCTCCTGGAACTTTCTTTCTATAGGTAAGGTGTATGTTGGATTTTATAAGAAACTGCCAATCTTTTCCCAAAGTGGTTGTACCATTTTACAACCTCACCAACAGGAATGTGGAGAGTTCCAATTCTCCACGTCCTCTCTGACAGTGATGTCATTCCGAGTAATTTTAGGCATTCCTCTGGATGTGCAGTGGTGTCTCCTTGTGGCTTTTATATGCGTTTCCCTGATGACTAATGACATGGAGGTTCTTCCATGTGCTTGAGGCCGTTTGAATGTCTTCCTTTGGGAAGTGTCTGTTCAAAGCTAGTGGCCAAAAAAGAATTTTATTTTAGCTGAATCCTAGTTCTTCCTATATTCTGAAAAACAGTTCTTTATCAGATATATATTTAAAAAATATTTTCTCCCAGTTTGCAGTCTGCCTATTTCTTTTTCTTTCTTTCTTTCTTTTTTGGGGGTGGGTGGGGAGTGCTGGGGATTGAACCCAGGGGCACTTTACCACTGAGCTACATCCTCAGCCCTTTTTATTTTTTATTTTGGGATAGTGTCTCACCAAGTTGCTTAGGGTCTCACTAAGTTGCTGAGGCAGGGCTGGAACTCATGATCCTCCTGCCTCAGCCTCTCGAGCTGCTGGGCTTCCAGGCAGGTACGACTGCACCTGGTCCTCTGCCTATTCATTTTCTTTGATGAGCAGATGTTTTTGATACTGATGCATTCTTACAGCAGCTCTAGAGCATCTGCCTTTACTGGGTCTGATTCTGAACACTACGTTCCTCTCCACTGTCTGTGTTTCTATCCAACCTCTGCTGGTGTTGCAGAATTTTGAGGTGTTCCCAGTAAGACCAGGCAAACCCGCTTTCTCTTCAGCAGCATGTCAGCTCTTCTCAGTCTCTTGCTGCTTCATACAAAACTTTACATCAGTTCATCAAGTTGAAACAAAACAAATGTGTGGGTGTATTAATTTAGAATTGCATCACCTATAGATAAAATTGGGGAGAATGGCTTCTTTGCTAAGTTATTTTTTTTTCTTTTTTATTACCATAATACATTGATTTACTAGTATCTTCTTTTTTGTTTTTTAAAGAGAGAGAGAGAAAGAGAATTTTTTAATATTTATTTTCTAGTTTTCGGCGGATACAACATCTTCGTTTATATGTGGTGCTGAGGATTGAACCCGGGCCGCATGCATGACAGGCGGGCGCGCTACCGCTTGAGCCACATCCCCAGCCCTGATTTACTAGTATCTTCTTAACTGTGTTTCAAAAAATATTATAATTTTGTGTATAAAGATCTTCCTCCTCTTTTGAGTGTTTTCTGAATAGGTATTTTATATGTTTTTGTTGTTATCATAAATGGCATCTTTTATGAAATTAAATTTTCTAATTGTTTATAGATTGTGTGTAAAGATCAAATTTTTAAATTGTTTTTGTAGGAAGCAGTCATTTCTTTTTTTTTTTTTTTTTAAAGAGAGAGTGAGAGAGAGAGGGGGACAGAGAGAGAGAGAATTTTAACATTTATTTATTTAAGTTCTCGGCAGACACAACATCTTTGTTTTGTAGTGGTGCTGAGGATCGAACCCGGGCCGCACGCATGCCAGGCGAGCGCGCTACCGCTTGAGCCACATCCCCAGCCCCCTGAATACTTTTTAAATGTATGTTCTACATATATTTAGGACATATTTAAACGATTTACTGTTTACCTGAAATTCAAACTTAATGGGGCATGCTGTATTGTATCTGTCCATCCTACCCAGAGAGAAGACCCAGGGAGCCAGCCAGTGATCCCAAGAGGGCATGGACTAGGTCTCTAGCCACCACTGCCCCACCTGCTCCACCCAGAGGCTGCTGGGAACTTGTCATACCCCAACTCCTTGGCAAGGTATAACCCCTACCAGATGTGAGGGCTGGCTTTGGAGCCAAGGGATCTGTGGAAAGGTGTCGCGTCTAATTAACTTAATAAGTAGGTTGTAAGCTGTGACCGGAAGCAGT